TATCATCATCATCATCATCATCATCATCATCATCATCATCATCATTATTATTAAACATGATGGTTTTCAGTATACTACAATTTAGCAAAAGATGTGGTTATAAATGAAATGTGTTTGTATATTAGTAGCTCAGGATGGTAGTTGGGCTGTTGGTTTGCTCTCCGAGCTTGGCAAGTGGTTATAAAGTTCACAACAGCTAAAAAAAAACATCTTGAGTGAAACTGTTCTTCTTGCATAGAATCAAGAAGGAAAAACCCTGCAAACAGCGGAGACAAACTAAAGAACAAACTCTGGTCAGTGATGAGAGGTTGAGAGAGACTACTCACTCAAACGATTCCTCCTTTCTTCTGATCGTGTCTCCTTCCTTCTCATTCTGGTGTAAAGATTTGGCCAAGAAGGCCCCTGGCTAAGGGACAGGTATGCAAGGAAAGGAAGAGCAAGGGAGAAGCTGGCTTTTCTCCTCTCTCTCAGGTTGCTGAATGCCATATTTCTTAGACTTCTGTGGGAAGTCAGAGCCCAGAGAAGGAAATATTAAAAGGGCAGAAAAATATATTTTTCCTCAAAAGGATTTTTAAAAGCAGAAGCCAACTCTGCCCCCAAATCTCTCTATCCCAAACAGGAGCCAGCCCTATACAAATGCAAATGTAAAACCATCAGAAAAGAGACAAAGAGACTTAAAATCTGCATACCCCACCCAAACTCTAGGAGTCATTAGCCCCATCACCAGGGAAGCAGGATATGATAATAGGATTAAACCACAGATACCAAGGCCTAGAAAAACAAGGTTCATGCCACAGGAACAGGAAACTATTCCAAACAAGGCTAGAGAGGGTATAAAAACCTACTACCCATGTGCTCAGCCCCTTCTTCCCTCTGCTCTTTCCTGCAAGAAACATCTTTCTGCCTCTTCAATAAACTGTAACCTTCTTCCCAAAGCAGTCGCCATGTTTGCTTATTTATCCCCGGCTTGGATGAACCAGGATGAAGACTTTAATCTAACACTTCCATCTAAAGCAGAAGCATTCACCCTTCTGTTTAATGTGCCATTGACTTTGGGGGGGGAGTGAATTATGCCAGCACAAAAGGTAGAGAGAAATTGTGTGTTTCTATGCATGAAGGCTCAAGTAAAACATATTGTCCCTTATAAACTCTTAAACAGACCTTAGCTCAGAGGCCACTTCTTAAGTATAGCAACAGCATTTAGACTTATATACTGCTTCACAGTGCTTTACAACCCTCTCTAACGGGTTTACAGAGTCAGCGTATTGCCCCCAACAATCTGGGTCCTCATTTTACCGACCTCGGAAGGATGGAAGGCTGAGTCAATCTTGAGCCAGTCAGGACTGAAGGAATTGAACTCCTGACAGTGTGAGCAGAGTTTGCCTGCAATACTGCATTCTAACCTCTGCGCCACCACGGCTCTTAAATAACATGGCCTAGATCAGGGTAGGCAACCTTGGCTCTTTTATGACTCGTGGACTTCAACTCCCAGAATTCCTGAGCCAGCATGGCTGGCTCAGGAATTCTGGGAGTTGAAGTTCACAAGTCATAAAAGAGCCAAGGTTGCCTACCCCTATTTAATATATGGATTTCAGTTGCTGAAACCTCTGTGAGAAGAAGACAAGGCCTTGCTGGGTCGTGACCTAGTGCATTGCTCCATGAACAGCAAGGCAGGAGTCAATGGACCTTGTTTTTTATAGAGTGGAGGAAGGACAAGGAAAAGAAAAGCTGGATTGTGTTATGTGGCATTTGTTCTTGTTACAAGGTGTACGTCAACTGATGAAAGTGGACTTTGATCTATGGAAAGGGCATTCAAATTATCAGTGTTTATCGTGTAGTGACTGAGAAATATTGATTTAATTACCAGGTGTTTCCCAAGCTGCCAGGTTTTATTTCTAGAGGCCTAAATGTTCTTGGTTTGTAATCCAGCATAAAGGAGGTCAGTACCGTGCTCTGACGAAGCCCACATTTTGCCCCATCGAGTCATTTTTTTTATTTTTTTTTTTAAAAGAGATGACTTGAGCAAACAATTGATGATGCTTTCCAATCTAATTTATATAACTCGTTTCATGGAGCAGTTACCTAAGGATGTCATTATACCCTGTTGGTCTTCCAGAGGGCCATAAATACCTGTCTGTTCTCCTAAGCCTTGTGGTATGGTTCCTCCAGGCTCCTTCTCTGGATGTGAGATGGCAGGAGGGTTGGGAGTGGTTGCTGGGCTCTCCATTTTCTTCCTTTTTCTTTGCCTTCCATTCTACTTTGGGTTTGTGGTTAGTTGCTTCTTATTATATTGCTTTTATACTGTCTGGTATATTGTAAGCCGGTCAGAGTTATTTGAAGTCATCATCATATCAAATCAATAATAAAACACATTGCAAAAATACTTGATCAAGTGACTATCTCTTGAAAATATTATTTCATTTTCTTGAAGAGTATCTGTAACCACAGTAGTGGCCAAAATTGTGGAAACCTTTTGGGAACAGTGTACCTTTGGTTAGGTTTCCACCAATTTTTCTTCTAATTTCTTTATAACTGTAGCCTTGTTCACTTAATAATACTATTTTACATCACTTTCTGGGCAACCAGTCAACTCTTTGCACCATTACTTTAATTTTATTACTTTTTACAATCTCACTAAATGAAAGAACACAAAAAAACCCCAACCAACTTGATAGCGATCACATAACAAACACACTGACAAATGTCCTCCTCTCAGCTTTAATACATGACATCAATAACTGAATTCTACTGTGATCTGATTGGCTCATTGCCAAAACAAGATGACACCTGATTGGCTCTCTAAACACTCATGCTCATTGGCTGCAATCAGATGAAGGAAAACTACCTTATATCAACCTAAGCAAGTTGTGCTTCCTTTTTCTGGTTATTTGGCTATAACCTTTAATAGAATACAGCACAGATAATTGAACAAACTTTGTGCATTACATTCTTGATTAAATTATCTTTCCATCAATATATAATTTTATGTTACTACTCCCCCCCAAAAAAGTGGTGTTATTAGCCATCAAACCTCAGAAATACACTTTTCCCAAAAGGTTTCCACAATTTTGGCCACTACTGTAGAGGCCAATGGTTTTAACTGGAATCATGTGTTTAAAGGATACTTTAGAAAATTAATTAAAAATGTTTTTTTCTCGAAATGTCCATCAGCTATGGTCTTTGGCCTAAAATGGTTTCAAAGAAGTAGGTATGTGTGTAATATATATGTTTGCTGGCTCTTTGGATATCTAATAAGGCTGGGTAAATAATACAAATCTCTTCATTAAGACTATATTGAGTAAGAATATATCAAATGTTAAGGATTTGTATTTGATGAGGCTAATATTTGTTTCTTGTAGTTAAACATACACACAATCCATGTTGGGATATGTTCTCTGTCAAGGAAAGTCCTCCAAAGATTTGAACTGGAGTTTTATATGATTTGTATTTTTTAGACCAATATAAACTCTGAACGCTGTAACCAGTGGTGGGATTCAGATATGTGAACAACCAGTTCTCTGTGTGGATGCCACTTCCGGATGTCCATTCTGTGCCTGGGCAACAAAAAATTAGCTACCAGTTCTGTTGAATTGGTACGAACTGGCTGAATCTCACCACTGGCTGCAACATCTTAAAATATTTTATGGAGATAACAGAAATATTTTCACAATTACAAAGAAACTGTCTTCAAAATATTCAGACAGGGACATCTTAAAATAGAGTATGTCAGTTGGGATAAGTCGTAGGTTAAATGCAACCAAGGAAAGTAAAAAAACCCCAGTGAAGTCAGACAATAATATGCATTTATGAGACAAAAATATGCATTTATGATAAGAGATCAGGATTGGAATTGATATAGATGGGATAAAGAACAGAGAAATGAAAATATCAATCTGTGGCCAAGGAGCATGAAACCAAATAATAAATCCTGCCTCCAAGTGACAAAAATAAATGAAATCTTTGGAAACCTGATCAGCAAACCTGGCTAGAAGTGCTGGGTCTCCAATTGCATAGCCTGTGACCATTTCATAGATTTATGAGTGGAATCAGTAGAAAACAGAAAGATGTACAGGTATAGAAGGCAATTAGGTATCACATTCCCATTTCAGCATAAAATATTGTCAATCCCTGTAAGATGAATATAATATGTTTTCAACTCATATGGAACAAAAAAAATGGCAACACTTAGATGTTGCTCTCAATTCAGACAGTTTGGGATGCATTAGTTCATCCACAAATCTTTCCCAAATTCTGCTAGACATATTTGTCATAATAGTTGAGTGTGTTCTTGTTCAAACTAAAGGTTTCATGTGCATGATTAAGTAATTTTAATAGGTAGAATTCCCGTTTGCATAAAATATTTCACTGAATCTAGTAATATGGATTTTATACTAAAATATTCTTAGGCAAGGAATGCTAGGTGGAAGTGTGCATAGTCAAATGTCCCCGGATTAACATTTCAGCATTCAGCACAATCGTAAATGTTATTTCTTTAAAAGGTTGTGAGTAATGAAAATCAACTTGAAATATGGGAATCAAGAAGCTGTATATTATAGTGGCTAATGTGTTGGACTTGAACTCAGGCCAAGTCCCCACTCAACCACTGAGTGATTTTGGTCAGTCACGCTGTCTCAGCCCAAATCCTCCACGCAGAGTTGTTGGAGTGGAGATCAAATAAAATCAGATCAAATGTGTACCCTAGGTGGGATGTAGATGTATGCAATATGATTAATTTATAAACAGCTGTGCTGCTTATAACAAAAAGCCTCCACCTTTATTGCTTGGTTAAAATTGCTTTGACAATCATGAACTTCAATAGTTTTAATTGTTGTGCTATTGTTCACCAGCCATAGTCAACTGGATTGAGATGGGCAGCTATAGAAGTCAAATAAATATATATATAAATAAATAAATATGTCTATGATCAATATTAATATTTCATTTATGTGGTTCTAAATATTTGTTTCCTTTTCATTATTATTATTTCCCCTGCAGATAAGTAAACAGCAATTGCAGACTGTCAAGGATCGCTTTCAAGCCTTTCTCAATGGAGAAACTCAGATTGTTGCTGATGAAGCCTTTATGAATGCTGTCCAGAGTTATTATGAGGTAAGAACATGAGCCTTAGATGTTTGCAGAGCAACCTATTAGTATTTCGTAGCCCTGAACTACTCTAAGGTAAAGTATACATCCTTCAATTCTTTCAGTGCAACTTAATTTAGGCACAAATCTTCACAAACTGTGGTCTAAGAGAACATCATCATCCAGTTGTCTGGATCTTCACTAGAAGTTGAAGGTAGAAAGCTGACCTAAACATGATCCGACTGTTGATTCATCTGGACTAATACATTATCTCTAATGAGTGTTATCATGGGCTGCCCAGTCTGTTTTAAACCCTATTTGGAGATGCTTGGAATTGAACCTGGGATATTTTGCATGTACATTCTAGAGTTGACCAATAGGTTCTGATTATAGGTATTCCTTGACTTACGACCACAATTGAGCCCAAAATTTCTGTTCCTAAGCGAGACAGATGTTCAGTGAGTTTTGCCCCATTTTATGACCTTTGTTGCCAGAAGTGTTAGGTAAGTCACTCCAGTTGTTAAGGTAATGATACAATTGTTAAGTGAATCTGACTTCCCATTGACTTTGCTTGCCAGAAGGTTGCAAAAAGTTATCACATGATCACGGGACACTGCGACCGTCATAAATATGAGTCAGTCGCCAAGTGTCTGAATTTTGATTATGTCATCATGGGGATATGGCAAGGGTGGTAAGTGTGAAAAACAGCCATAAGTCACTTTTTTCAGTACCGTTCAGTAACTCTGAACAGCCACTAAATGAACTGTTGTAACAGTAATTGTTGTACCACCTCTACTGTTACTATCTCTGGCATGAATTATATAAACATCCATAATGGGAAAATGGCATAATTCACATGGCAGCTTATGATATAAGTTCTTTCCTATGTTATTACAGGACCAGGTATGGGTCTAGAAGTCACAAAACCTCTCCCAACACCTCACACCTCTAAGCAAATTAGCATAATCATTCTCATGAATGGGATCTAAGTTTCCTAAAGCAAAAGGTGGTGCCCAGAACAAAAAGAATTTTCAGTTATGTTACTGTATTCATGGAATTCCTTCTCAATGGAATCTTAACTGTGTCGGGAAAAGAGGCACCAGTTCCTCTAAGCTTTTTAAAAGGTTTCATTAATGTAACTATTTATAAGAAAGTCTGCATCCACATTTCGTTTTACCACAAGCACAGTTAATTGAGAGTGGATTGAGCCCAGTGTTTGATAAGGCCTGAAATTCAAGCCTTTTAAGGAACAATTTAAGGAATTGTTCCTTAAGAATGTAAAAAAGAAAAGAAAAAAGTATCACTGTGAATGCCTCTATGGGAGGCTTTGGAGATTTTCCTTTTGAGAAATTTCATGGTGGGCTAAATGCTAGCTGCAAACTAAGTCTGGCTACTGTTCAGACTTCTCTCTCAAAATAATCATGGAGTGGTTTGAGAATTGCATTTGGTTTTTTGAACATTTGAAGATGGCCAAGGGATTTCTTCCAGTTTTTGCATTGGCATTTTAAAAGGCTGACATTTTTAAAAGAGTGCCAAACTGGTTAAAAAAAAAAAAAGATTACTTCTTTTCTTTGGAACTTTAAAAAGTTTCTTTTTTTAAAAAAAAAATGAGAATGCATCCCTTATTTATTTTTCAAAGTAAGTACAATTCCTGTCCGTTTCATCTGCTTTTTGGATATTTTGTTTGCTGCCGCTGCCTCCTCCTTTTGTCATCCTTACAAAAACGTGTCAGAGTAAAAAGCTGCTAAATGCATAATGCACTGAAGCACATTTTTGAGAATTAAGACTCTCTCCTCTCCCTCTCCCTCTCCCTCCCTACCCCTCTCCCCTCTGTCCTCTTCCATCTTTCCTCTTTCCAGTCTTTTCTCTCTGCTTTCCTTGTCTCCTCTGAATGAGAAAAATCTGGCATCAGAGCTTCAGATGATGGGGAAATTTTATTGACCTCTAAAATAAATGCATATAATGAGTTCGATAGGCCCTCAGAGCTGGAAGGGCTTATGTTCAATATTATCACACCATATCATAAAGCAGGTAACCTCTTGATCAGTAACTGGACAGACCATCCAAACCTTAGTAGAATTCCTGCTTTGCGCATCAGTGATCTCAAGTAAAAAGATCAAGATGCAGGTGCCATAAAAAAGGCATTTCCTGGAGTTGATGAAGTAATATGACCTGGTACTTTGTTTCTTTCCCACCAATAACCAGATCGACCCAGATTCAGTACACATAAAACACTGGAAACCTGGACAGTTGGTTAGTTTTTTTTATACATCCTTTCAGTAACTGGTGGGAGACTTTTATTTTACAAAAAGAAAGTTTACAAGTAAAAAAAAAACCGGAAGGATTCAAAAATTATAAATGCCTTCAACCAGTTCAGAAATTTATCCTAATAAAAAGATTTTAACAAGAGTCACTTGTTGAGATGGGCAGCTGTATAAATTGAACAAACAAACAAATAAATAAATAAATAAACTTTTCTAATTTATCTTTTTCTACACTATATTTTTCAAAGTCCATTTGCATTATACTGTATTTTTATATCTTACTCTTCTATATCTCTGATGTAGCTGTTTGTAGCTAACTTCTATATTTTAGTTAACTTAATCCCTGTATCTCTCTTCTCACTTTCCATCCTATTATGCTGGTTTTGCTACTTTGCTCTCTCCCATCTTTTTTCAAGGTTCCGTTTTCTATTTCTCCTCTACCAAAGTGTTTACTTTTCTTCACTTCTTATTCTTCTTTTCTTCCAAATCTTGGCTTCATCCAAAGGAAACCAGGAAACTCATGCCAGGTTTAAAGGGAGGAAATAAATGCCTGGCTCTTCCCTGTATTCTCATGTCGCCTCTTTTTAGCATTGTGTGTTTTTCATCAAGACTGTCTGTCTTCCAGATTACCTCTTTATTTGACTCCTGGGCTTTAAGCTCTGTTTATTCATCTTAATTTTTATCAGGTTAGAGCTCCCAGGTAGCCAACTCGTCTTCCCTCCTGATAAAAGGAACATGTTCGTATGCCACTTATTCTGGAATACTTTTAATGGAACAACTCCAGAGAAGGAATTTGAAGATACAGAGAAACAGTATCTGAAGATGCCTCTCAGCCAGTTTATATTGGCTCAGAAGCTTGTTTTACTAACTAGCCAACTATTGGAAGGCAATAAAAAGACTAATGCGGAACTGGGGAAGTATGTATTCTCCATTACTTAGTCATTAAATTATTTTGTGCCGTTTTCTCATTTCAAAGGTCAGATATTTCAATTAGGAGATGCTATTTTCCAATTATATATCTTCGTTAAAAGAATAAATATTTTGGCATGTAATTAGACTGTAAAGACATCTTCTGCGTGCTAATTAATTTGTGCCACCGATCATCCTAGCATCCCACACTGTTTACAAGTTGTCAAATGGCTCATTTGACATCGTCTTATATTGGATGGGTTCATATCACTTCAAAGTTTTCAACACACAAATGCAATAAGGTTTACACCTTCAGTGTGAAATGACCCCTGTCCTATATATGTCAGGGATGTGCAGAAAGTTGAATTTCTTTGTAGATGTCAACTCCAAGTTTACAGAAGTTATTGCCACAGGAAGTCATACTGAGTTAGAAGTTAATCTATATAATCTAGCGCTAATCAGACCTTTAGTAACCAAGGATTGGCCTTTGCATATTTGAACAGTTGCAAAGTGATGAAACCATATCATAGATCTGTTTGGAGGTCTGTTACATTAGCTGCTATGTGCTAAACAAAAATTCATTCTACTTCCTGCCTCAAAATGCATAGGCCATATATCACCTTAGGGACACAGGTTGTCCACTCTTGATCAAATCCATTATTGTCCACACTGTTTTATTGTGGACCTCAAGCTATTATTTAGATTTGGTGGCCTAACAGCCCACAGCTCAATTTAATAACTTCATGATCTATTTTTCCCCTATGGCTTTTAATGCAGTTGGTGGATGGGGTCTTTGATATGTTGCTCTCCCTAAATCCTGATTGTCATGAAATACTGGAGTAAATAAAACAGGGAGGGCAGAATAGAAACTGACTTCAAATGTAAAATAACTAAATACAATTATATGTGATGATAAAAAAGGAACAACAGGGAAAGACATATGAAATAATCACCAACATCTTCAAAAGAATAAAATTCACAAAGGAAGAAGAAAACAACAGCACAGCTCTTCCTGGATATCCACATTAGCAAAGGAAATAAAAGGCAATGCCTTTATTTTTTTTAAAAAAAACCAAACACCCACACTAAGTGCTCCATTACCAAAGTAACAATTCAACCTCTCACAAGAGGAACATTATTCAGACAAGCAAAAACTCACGGCAGCAACCCAAAACACCAGAAAAAGGAAACAGGCTGCCTATACAACATCTTCCAATAAAGTGGATACTCATGCAAAAGTACAACCAACACAAAGGACAACACTGCCATATATCCAAAACATCTAAGCAACAACCAAAAACTATTACAATCACACCGTGGTATCACTGCAGCACACAAAACTTCTAAAGCCCTCCAAAACATCTTAAGTAAACCAAAAGATCTGGTAGCCCAAAAATTAAAACAGGAGTCACCTACTACATACAGTGTAAGGATAGTCATGGTGTAGGACAGACAGGCACACTAGCAGAACACATCCATGAACACCAACTAGCAGTCAGAAGACACAATGAAAATTCCTTAACTTCACAGTATGGATAGATTTAATCACAGTTTCAGCTGGGACACTGTAAGCATCCTAAACCAAGCTAAATCTCAAAATGCCAAGTAATTCCTGGAAGCTTGGTATTCAAACAAATCGGACATCAACAGGTACATCGTGATAAACAACATTTATACACCATTCGAAAGAGAGAATAAAAAAGTTAAAAGGGAAACAAAAACTTCTCCTCCCCAGCAATCAACACTCAGAGAAGCAGAAATTAGCACCAGAATTAATGTCAGACAAACAATCAAGCAGCAAACAACAGCCCAATCAAGCAACTGCATATTTTGTTTTACTATTTTTATCTTCTA